ATTTAAGAAACAAAAACAAGAAAACCTTTTCTGGAGTCCTGAATACCAGCCTTCATTGATATACAACATGGAAAAGAGCTGCCTTGTTGCCTGGCAGTAATGACAGCAAACAAATGTGTCCGACAGTCTGTTTGGGATCTCCTGGTCTGAAATTCTGTTTGCTTCATTCTAATTGCTTCCTTCACTTCCTTTCAGTCTCCCCACCTTGGGTACCACCCTCACTCAAGGGAGCGCCAGACCGTGCCTCTTTGTGCCAGGCTGGGCTGGGGCCCACAGGAGACAGTGACCCAGCCGGGCTATTCTTGTCTCTGTCTATTTGCAAGATGCCTGTTGTTCTCTGTGAATGTTTTTCTCAACATAAATGTTGGCTTGGCAGGGGCCCAGTGTGGAAGCCACGGTGGAAAAGCTTCCAGAATCCTGCCCCAGAGATTCAGCTGGTCCTGAGTGCCAGGCTGAGGAGACACGCTCATAGATACTGTCGCTGGGGAGGTACCTCTGTAGGTATTGCCACCGAGACAGCCCTGATTGGGTTCGGCACCCTTTGCAGAGTGTGGACCTCTGCCAGCACTCTCTCTTGAAGAATAGGCCTGGAGGAACCGTGGTGGCCTTGTGAGGCGCCTCTGGGCCTGACTGGCAACTCTCTTCCCTGCCATGTGCCCTCCCCCACCCTACTCTCTAGGAATTCGAATCTGTGTCAGGCCAGAGAAAGTGACTCTCAGGCCCTGCCTGAAACAGATTGGAACCCCCAGAACAGTGACCTCCAAACCTTTAAAATCACATACCCCTACCAGTAAAGTGTTTGAGCATGTATTCCTAATATGTCTACTTACTTATAAATGGTATACAGAGGTTGCTATGTAATACCTACATTATAAACAAATATTAGAAAATTTTAATAATTTCTGTAATTTAAAAGGATGGAAGAAAAAATAAAACAGTTGTAAATTTGCTTTTAATCTTATTTTATTGAAGGTATATATGATTGAATATGCCCTCTTTTTAGGAAAAAAAAAATCTGGGTTTATCACTTTGTGATTCAGTAATTCAGAGGTGTGTCCCTAGGAGAGTATACGTCTACACTTCATTTTAACAGTTGCCCTTAATGAAAACTTCCTTACAAAGGTAGATTCACATGGAACATTTGCATCCTTGAGCTTACAAAAATCATGATCCCCGTATTCCAACCCCCCCACCAGTTATACAAAGGTTTTTGCTGAACTTTGTAGTTTAGAAAAGTACCTTTTAACGAGACTTCAAACCCCTCTGAAGCTCTTTGTTTGGAATACTTTTAAATAGATCAGGACATTTTTTACAATTCCTAATTGTACAAATATAGGACGGTGTTCAGATATAGGAGAGTTTAGAGATGGCTTATTTTAAAATTTTTTTTGGATTTCACCAACAAGAGTGAATTTTACTGTATGTAAAATTAAAAATTAAAAAATCCAATGAGTTTTGACAAATGCATAGACTTATGCACCGCTGAAATCAAGATAAGAAAATTCCAACTCCTGCGTTACCCCTGTGTAGTCATACTTTCCCCTTACCTATAACCTTTGGCAACCAATGATCTTCTTAGCTAAAGCATTTCAGATTCATCCATGTTATGTGTATTAACATAGGTTTTCATTTCGTTTGAGTAATTGAAACTGCCAAACTCTTATCCAAATGGCTGTGCCATTTTGCAATGTCTGAATTCCAGTTGCTACACATTCTTGAGTGCACTTAGTTTTGTCAGTTTAAAAAAAAATTTTGGACCATTTTAATGTGTGTATAGTGATAATCTCAATTATGTTTTTCAATTTGCATTCCCCTAATGACTAGTGATGTTGAGCATCTTTTCATGGGCCTGTTTCCCATCTGTTTATATTTGGTGAAGTCTGTTCAAATCTTTGCCCATTTTAAAATTGGGTTTCTTGTTTTACTGTTGAATTTTGAGAGTTCTTTGTATATTTTAGATACAAGTCCTTTGTTAGACAAGTAATTTGTAGATATTTTCTCCCAGTCTATGGCTTATCTTTTCATTCTCTTAAAAGTGTTTTTCAGAGCAAAAGTTGAAAATTTTGATGAAATTTAGCAGTTCTTTTCTTTTATAAATTGTGTTCCTGATGTAGTATCTAAGAAATCTTTTCTAACGCAAGGTCACAAAGATTTTCTCCTGCATTTTCTTCTGAATATCCTCCATTTTAATTTTTGTACAGGCATATCAATTCTGAACTCCAAAGATCATATAAAATGAAAGCATTGCTAAATACTGTTTAGTGAAACTTTTTTTTTTAAGATAAAATTAAATAGATAAAATTTCTAGTATTTTCCCCCTACCCTGAAGGATTGTCTGGTGTACCTTCTGGGGAGACTGCTGCCCTGAAAAGCTTTGCAGTGCTGCCTCTCTCCCTGCATTCCCATTGTGCCCAGCAGCTAGCAGGTGATCTGTGAGTCTTTGAGAAGTGAATGTCTTTTCCTGCCATAAATGGTGAAGCTGTGTTACCTCATGTTGTCGTTTTCCAGTCTGCTTTCTTCTAGAATTTGTTTTCCCATAACCACGTTCTTCTAAGCTCTAGCTTGAAGATCTTGATAAAAGTTTCCTCGAGGGTGGCACTCCCAATTAATCCATAATGTAGGACCGCAGAATTATACGAGAATATAATTTTGGAGCTGGAAGGAGACTTGGAGGTCAACTAGTCCAAATCCCTTATTAAAATCAAACCAAAAATAAATTAACGCTGGTAAATTCACAGACTGGAATATGACTCAGCAATGAAAAGAGAATGAACTATTGATATGTACAGCAACATAGATGAATCTTAAAAGAATTATGCTGTGTGAAAGAAGCCAGGCAAGAAACACTACATGCTGTATGACTTCATTTATTTAAAATTATGGAAAATACAAACTATAGTGACAGTAGACAGTGTCTGCCTGAGGATGAGTGGGAAGAGAGTGAGGAGAGAAGAGATGGCCGGATTGAGGGACATGAGGAAACTTTCGGATGTGACAGATAGTCCATAATATTGGTTGTGGTGATGATTTCACAGGTATACGCAGGTATCAAAACTTATCAAATAGTACACTTTAAATACACACAGTTTATTATTGTATATCAGATATATACCAATAAAGCCATTTAAAGAAAAAAAAAGGAAATTAGAGGCAATTGACTCATGCAATAAATATTTTATAAATGATGCCAGATTCATGCTATGTGTTGTGGGTTCAGAGAGAGATTGAAGACATAGTTCATGCCTTCAGGGAGCTCACAATCTAGTGAGTGAGTTAGACAGAGAGACAATTTAAATCCAGTATGCTAAGAGCTAAGAAAAAGGAACAGGCAGGTAACAAGAGGAGTCCAGTACATGGGTACCAATGGGTACCTCTTCCTGGGGAGGTCAGAGAAAGCCTTACGAATGAGAGGAAGCTGAGCTGAGGCTTAGGACTGGTCAAGGGGAGGAGCCTCCCCATCTCAGGGAAGATGGTGGTCAGAGTTGGTGAAATGCAAGTTCCAGGAATTGCACGTGGTTCGGCCTGACTAGAGCAAAGGACACAGTGGGAAAGTAGCAAGAGAAGAGACTGCAGAGGTTGGTGGGACCAGATCGTGAAGCTTTTGCTATCCTGGCGCTGCTTGGATGTCTTGTGCTCCACAGTTGAACTAACAGGTTGGCCAAATATAGGGTCTGTGTTGCTGGGACATTGTCTCATCCAAACACTTGGCATGGACTTCCAGGTTCCAGGTTTCGAGGCTGTGACACTCGTATTCATGCTCAGTGCTAGCCTGGAGCTCTTATGTTCCCCGGGGATGTTTCAAGACCCAAAGGAAAGAGAGCGGGTTTCAGCCTGAGCAGCAGCTGTGGAACATCTGCTTGCTCCTCAGAGCTGCACCTGGGAGCCAAGGCTTCTGGTACATTTGTATGTTGGAGGCAACCAACAATCTAGCTTCCCCAAAGGCAGTTTTTCCACAAGTCAAGAATTTTGCCTTTGTCTCCGGCTGGCAGCACTGATCCCTAAAGTCCTGTGCTTCTGACAACAGCTGTCTCATGGGCAGTGATCTGTGTCCTGTCTGGTTCTCTGCTACCCTTTGGTCATCTGTTAACCAGTCGCCCATAGATTTCTCCAGCCACTGAATAGCAGAGGTCATGGGAGAGTCCTTTATTTGTTTGTTTGTTTATTTATTTTAAGAGTGGTCTTCAGAGCAGACCAGGATGTTTAATTCAGGGTACAGTTGTCAGGCCGCATTAAAAATGCAGGCAGAAATGCAGTACATGGACGGCTCATGTCAGCCAGACGTTTCAGTGTAACCAGAGGAGGAAAACACGGATAGGGCCTGTGTTAATGCAAGTAGATGCCAAATCGCACGGCAAGCTCTGGCTCCTGTTTCTCCTGTTCCCTGCCATCCTCCAGCCAGAAGAAAGAAGCTCCTCTTTAAGCTAGAAGTTAAAGTGGGATTACTGCTTAATGAGCATTCCTGTGATCTAGAGGTGAAGTTGCTTACACCTCAGAAGGAGAGCTTTCGTGCTGCCATTTGGGAGGATGGTAACTAATCCAGCAGTTAAGATCTCCAAGAAAGCAAGACCAGTGAGAAGTGTGGGTTTGGTGGTTTATTCTTACCTTGGGGATTCTTTGCTGTCTTCTGCAGGGTCGATCCAAGAGGGCAAGCAGAGGTGCTTGTGCTGGTTTCCATGCCCTAGCCGACTTGAGAGCTGTGGGCAGTACAGGTGGCTGAAATCAAGTGGGTCCAGGAAAGGCCAGTGTGGATTAATGATATTTTCTTACCTGGGCTGGTGAAAACAGTCCGAGTGTGGGCTGACCCGGGCTCTGTAGCTCTGTGTACTCTGCCTTCTCCTCTTCCCACCATGCCAGCTGCTAGCTGGAGGGTTAACTGGCTCACCGCTCCCTTTTAGCCGTGTCAGCCCTGCAAGGTCATGAGTGTTGTGCTTTGGGGCTGGTTTCCCGAATGGGTGGGTGAAACGGATCTCTAACTATCGATTTGTCTTCTTGCATTTCAGTCGTTCCAAGGAAGTCAAGGACGAGCATACCTCTTTAACTCAGTGTGAGTGTCTCTGAATGGTACATCCATTGTTCGGTGCAAATTTTGAGGGGTGGGGAAAAGCAAACGCTCAGTGATAATTAAACAATGGAACCTGTCCTCTCTGACACACACGCACACGCACACGCACACGCACACGCACATGCAGCATTATCTACCACAAGCGGTAGCCAGTCATCCTTGGGGATTTTGGCGGGGGAATCATCTTTGGCTAAAAATAATACAGTCACTCCCCCCAGTAAGTGCAGAGGGCTGTAGCCTCCTAGGGAAGAGCTTCAGCACGGAGGTCTCATAACTAGACCTGAGATGTGTCTCTGGGGAAGAGAAGGAGGGCGAACAGAGGACCCCAGGATCTGCTGGAGGACGAAGGTTGGAGGAGCCTTCATAAAGTGGAGTTAGTGAAGAGCCTCCATGCCCTCCTACAGATGCACAGTCTGCCACAGCCCTCAGCATTATTTACAGCTTTCTCTAGGAAAGCAAGCCTGATGAACTGTGAAAATGGAAATCTAGCGTGTTCAGTCTAAAATAATAGGTGCTCTGTGAAGGAGTCTATGTATTTGATAGATGGGGCTCACCCATCCTTGCGATCAGGACAGGACTGTGCCGTCACGATTGACATCTCTGGCTGCAATCAGTCCTCAGGAAGCTCTGAGGACCTGTGCTCATGGCTGTGGACTGCAGTGTGGTTGTCAGTTTGTCCCCTTAAATCACAAGGCTAAAAGCATTTGTTAGAAAAATTCTGAGCAAAGTCTCAACCATAAAGACTTCTTTTAGTAGACTCATTGAATCAGAACTTGCAGATCTGAAATGCATCTCAACGGAGACGTTTCCATGTGGCTACCTTTTCGGAAGTTATTCCTGGTTTCAGTTAGAGATGATGCTCTTCTCAGTGTTGGCTTCCCTTCAGGCAGCTGTACTCAGTTAATTTTTTGCTGGAAGTCCAGCTTGAACAACTGATGGTGAGCATGTGCCTGACGCCCCGCTCTCTCTCTCTGTCCCTTGGCACAGAGTTAACGTGGGCTGCGGGCCGGCAGAAGAGCGCGTGTTGCTAACAGGACTGCACGCCGTCGCAGACATTTACTGTGAAAACTGCAAAACCACTCTGGGCTGGAAATATGTAAGTACCAAGGAGTCTGACTGGTGGAGAGAGGGCCATGAAGGAACTAGCTGAGAGCCACACATTAGAAGAATGTTTTCTTCTGCTTGCCTCCCGTGGCCTTGTGGGATTACCTTTGACCAGGATGGGAAACTGAGCTCAAAGAGCAGTTCCTGGCACACTTCTGTTTGCCACACTCATCCCCTTTTCACTGACAGTCCACCCCTCCTACTCCTTTCTTCACCTGCTCCTGATACACGTGCGCACGCGCACACACACACACACACACACACCCTCTCAATTTAATTAATAATAATAATAGTAATAGTAATAATAACAATGGCACATAACATTTCCTCACAACTTACTGCGTTCCAGACGTACATTATTTTATTTACTCTTCACAGAATCCTTAGAGGATAAGGATTTACCCATTTTAATCCCTAGTTTATGGATGAGGAAACAGGCTTAGGGAGGTTAATAGTATGTCCAGTGTTGTCTAGCCATTACATGGCCAAACGAGGATAGGAGTCCAGGTGGTGGTCCAGCTGCAGAGCCCATGTTCTTTGATGCTCCAGTAAATGTCCCCAAAGCATCTCTTAGGTCCCAGACCCTGTGCTAGGCATCATCAAATATTGTGTTAATTAATGTCCACTGTCAGATACAGTAATGGCTGGACTTGCCCAACTGGACATTTATTCCTGCACTGTTTAACTCAACAGGTATTTTTAACATCTCCTTGGTACCTAGGAGAGTGGGCAGTCCCTTGCCAGGGTGAGAGGAGGTATATGTGTTCAGTGAAAGTCAACTTGTATTATTGTTGTTATTATTATTGGCAGATCTTTTCACAGTGCTTTTCTCTGCCCTCTGTCATTGTGGGAATATTGAAAAATGAGTCTTCCTGTTTCTGGGAGGGCAATTTATTCCATGTAAAATGCCTCAAATCCCCTGTCCTGTCAGTTGCAGAGCATCAGTGTGGGGCTGGCTCATAGGACCTGCCGTTAGCTAGCTTGGGAAGGAGTCTGAAGGAGTAGTCAGAACCGCCCACAGAGTGATGAGGTTGCATCAGTGTAGGTTTGTTGACTGCAGTAAATGCCCCAGTCTGCAGGCCTTTGATAGTGGGGGAGCTCGTGCATACGTGGGAGCAGGGAGCATAGGGGAAATCTCTGTGCCTCGTGCTCCTTTTTGTGATGAACCTAAAACTGCTCTAAAAATATGAGTGTATGTGAAAAAAGATGTTGAGCCAAAGAAGCCAGACATGAAAGTATGATTCCATTTAAATAAAGTTCAAAAATGTGCAGATCTTGGGGAGTTACCTGGTGGCCTAGTGGTTAGGATTCCGAGCTTTCACTGCCGTGGCCCGGGTTCAGACCCTGGGTGGGGAACTGAGATCCCACAAGCTCCGTGGCTTGGCCAAAAAAAAAAAAAAAGAAGTGCAGACCTAAAAAACTGCTGCAGGTGGAGTCTGCAGTGCAGCAGCATGGCCTTTAGATTCCATCTTTTCATGTCTTCCTTGAAATGTTCAGAATGAGAATGAAAAAACCTGGACACTGTGTTTCATGATGCCAAGAAGGTTTAACCACAGCTTCCTACGGGAGAAACTGGCCTTGGCCCTTCTCCCCCTGTATGACCACTGGTCCCCTCTGAGTGATCTGGGGGCCACAGGTCTGGTTTTGATTATCCAAAAGTGTTCTGCTGCTTCTTTGTTTCCCAACTTCTTGGCTGTCTTATTCCTTGAACATGTGCTGGATTTATATACAGAAGATAAATCTGACTTGGTTGGTTTTGCTCCTTTCTTCAGGTAAAATGATTCAGTCCTTTGACAAAGCTTTATTAAGAACCTTTGTGCTGGATACAAAAGTGAATGAGATCTAGTTCTTGCCCTCAGGGTGTTTATAGTCATGATACCAAGGGGGAAAACCACAGGTGAAGTTACAACAGCTGGACAGGACAGCAGAGGAACATCCATCTCCCCAGACATTCGTTGATCACCTCTCATATGCCAGGCCCAGTGCTCCAACCTTTCATTCGATTATTCCTTCCGACCCTTATAATAACCCTGTGGAGTACTTGTAATTATCCCAGTTTTGTAAAAACAGAAAGTTTATAATTTTGTAAATTGTAAAAGGAAGTCAGATGCTTAAATGATGCTTCTGATGCCAGGAAGCAGTAGACGTGGGGTTTAGGGGGGATGTTTGTTTCAATTCCAGATCCAGTGCTGTCTACTGGAATCCAGTTGTGACATTTTGCAAGTGCCCTGTGGCTTGGGGGGTGTTGACTTTTTTCTTTCTTTTTTTTTTTGTTTAATAGGGACACACTGTCACTTTGCTAGTTTTGTTTTTTCCTCCTCTCTATCCTGAATACACTACTATGGAACAATAGGTCCTATTCCCAAACCACATTCCTCTGGTGTGTACACATCTCACACACACACACACACACACACACACACACACGGAGCTGGGGAATAATGAGGTGTCAGGGAAATTACTGCTGAGCCCACAGCTCTTGTATGTGTGTGGTGTGTTTGCACTTTCTCTCGGTGCCCCTCCCCTCTCCGCTATGTGGAATGATTCCTCTCTCAACACGAGGCTCGAGTCTGAACTCTTGTTCTGAGACCCGGAGCCCCTGAGCTCTAGAACAGAAGATACAGTCCATACAAATGCTGCCCGGAATCTATCGACAGTAGGATTTATTTAACTCCTTCCTAATTTAGGAACTCGGGAGGGAGAGCTGATGTCCACTGCTCTGCATATTCAGTTTTGCCATCTGATGACCCTGATACCCAGTGTTTTTCAGATGATATACCAAGATGGTTTTTTGTATCTGTGTCTGCAAATAGAATGTCACCTTGATCCTACACCTGTGCAGGACTTATTTCTGTGGGGCTTATTAGCTGGGAGAGCCTGCAGTGCTGTAAGTTTCAGCTGGTAACCTCCCAGCTGGTTTGCATTGGGTTTGCCCTTCTCTGGAGGCCTGGCAGCTGGGTAGGGCGCAAGGGCTGCCAGGTCCTTCAGCCTGGAGTTCATACAGCTCCTTTTTCCCTGGAGAAAAGCAGTGATGGAAAAACAAACTTAACACATCTGACATGGAAATAGCAAGATAAGAAATAAAAGAGAGACCTGTTTGGCCTCACAATCTATTTTGTTTCTGTCCCTGAATGTCTTTTCTCTAAGCCTAACAAGCACAGTTTAAAATAATGACACAGTGGGAATTCCCTGGCAGTCCAGTGTTTAGGACTCCGGGCTTTCACTGCCGAGGGCTCGAGTTTAATCTCTGGTCTGGGAAGTAAGATCCCAGAAGCCACACAGACCGGCCAAAAAATAATAATAAAATAAAATAATGACACAGAAACTTTATGGATACCTCCATAGGGCAGATTTCTGGTAAACATCAGAAACCAAGTGCCTCTAAGATTTTATACACACGCACGCACACGCACGCACGCACGTACGCGCACACACGCACACACACACATATATACAGAGGGATCTATCAATGAACAAAACGTGAAGTTTATCTTGCGGCAGTGGGAGACACAGACAAAACACAAAATAGATATGCAAGTTATACTGCACGTTTGAATGTGGTAAGTGCTGTGGAGAAAAATAAAGCAGGAAAAGTGGGGGGCGGGGAGGGGTTGCTGCCTGGGAAGTTGTGATTTTCAGTAAAGACCTTACTGAGATGGTGACGTTTGGCCAGAGACTTGAATGAGCAAAGATCCTGAAGAAACGCTATTGCAAATACTGAGAAAATATTTAGAATGTTTAAATTCAGAACATTTAAATTTAAAAATATTTAAATTCTATTGTAAATATTGAGAAAGTCCTGCTGATGCCTCAGTGCTGCAGTTAAGCCAAGGGGACATAGTGTGCTGAGTGGTAAGAATTCTCAGTGAGTCTGGGTGACGCCGGAGCCAGACCTCAGCGGTCCTGATACCTGTCATTGGCCCCGCCTTGGCTCCTATGCTCCAAAAGTCATCTGCTTGTCTGTGGTCACTCAGTGTCTCTTCTCTTCCCTTGTGTTTCCTAGGAACATGCCTTTGAAAGCAGCCAGAAATACAAAGAAGGCAAATACATCATTGAGCTAGCACACATGATCAAGGACAATGGCTGGGACTGATTGGAGAGCATCTACCCAACCCAGTGTCCACGTGAATGCCATCCAACCGAACATTCTACCCAAGCGTGAGAGAGTGACTGAACACTTGGTTCCATCCATTTAGGGGCCTTGCCATCTGGGGCATTCTCCCACCCTGCCACCATCTTTCTGGTGACCAGCCTCTAAATTGCTGTCTCTCTGTCTCTTTGCTTTGTATCTGTTTGTGAGTTGATCCTGGCTTCTCTCTCTGTTCTAGTGTTGGCTGAAAGCAAAACAACAAAAGGAACAGATGCCTGCCCGCATGGCAGCAGCCCACTTTGATAAAGGCCCCAGGGCCCTTGAAGAGCTGCCTGATGGCCTCTTGTCAGGAGAACAGTGGCACAGCACAGGGGTGTGAGGAAGAGGGGAACCAGGAGGGTCCCGGGTGGGTAGGGGACGGGAGGGTAGAGGTAGGAACAAACTTGTGCTGCTCTTGGAGACCTGGGAACTTAGGCTTGAAATAATCGACTTGTCTAAAAGGACAAAGAGAAAAAAAAATACCTCATGACTGCATTCTCTCTGATCAGAAGCTTCTGTTCCTGACACCAAATGTGCCAGGTTAGCAAATGAGCACAAGAAGTGGCCCTAATTCTAGCTGGCAGGGCAGGGGCCGGCCTGGTTCCCCTGGGCCGAGCTGGGGAGTGTCCTGGCAGCAATGAGGGACTCGGGAAAAGCCCACATGGTTTTGATGACTCTGATGCCTCACTGCTCCTCTGGGTAATCATCTTTGCCTCTTCAGCCACTGTAGGTGACAGGAGAGGGGACTGCCATTTGCAATGGGTGCAAGATCCAAACGTCCCAAAGGCTTTGACCAGCAACCAAGTAAAATCAGTGATTGAGGATAACAGGGAACAAAGGGGGATGCAGTTTAGGTGCTCCTGCAGAAATGGCTCTGATATTGGGCCAGAGAAAATAAAAAGTGGAACCAGTTAGCAGTTCTGACTGACCTTTTTTTCTGAACCTTAGTAAGAGAAGAGCATTGTGGCAAGGAAGGGAGGGTGGGGCGGGGCAGTGCCGGGAATAGTTTAGGTTTGAACCAGAACAGGTTAAGTGCATCTTTCTTCTTTGGTATGCAGTGGCTTCACTGAGATCAGCAATTCTTTGTATGTAGAGTTTTGGGTGTTTTTCTGCAGTTCTATCATTGTAGATCCTGGAAAACAAAGTCCCAAGGCTTCGAGCTTAGTGATAACCTGGCCGGTAGATTCCTCATGCCCCTAGCTGTTCTCTTTTACTTGCATGTGTTGTGTGGAGACAAATCTGTCAATGTGATCCAGCGATGGGAAGGTCTCAGATTTGATGTCAAACGGCAAGTTATAAATTCCAGTATTACACCCCACTCCCCGCCTCGCCATCCAAAGTTCATTATATTAGGGAAGTGGAGAACAAATCCCTGTAAGGCTCTTGAGAGAGAGAGGAGTTTGTTACGTTTAATTAACACTGTGAAGTCTGTTCAACAGCAATTTAGCCAGTAAACGGTGCATGACCGAAACTCATTTAACTGAGTTCATTTCATTGCTTAGACTGAAAATATGATTATTGCTAAGATATGTGTAGGTTATGTTAGGTAATTCTCAGCATCTCATTCCCCAAGTAGGCTGATCCCATAGGAAAATTCACCTTAAAAGTCACAAAAGAGTGAGTTCATGGAGATGAGAACCTGTAAAATTCTTAACCAAGATTAAAGTGGCCAACCCAGGACATTTTCAGAATTGAGCCAAATTCCCAGAGGGGGCGAGTCTGTTGTGGAAATGCCTTTTTGAGTCTCTGTGTGCTGATTGTGGAACGAGGGGCTGAGATGGGTGTGGTCCTGCCCAGCCCCACGTTTAGCAGCAGACAGCTTCTGTAAGACAAAGAAGCTGATTCTTAAAAATCGAATTTTGTTCCCGAAGGCTTCTTGCCCACATCTTTTGGTGCTTTTAGTAGCCTGGGAGATTAAGTTGTTCTCTCCACATTACTAAAAAGCAGACTGAGGTTCAAAAGAAGTCTTTTCAGTTCCGATCCCAGAGAAATAGTTCCTCTGGCTCCCAGGCCCCAGATCTCAATTTAAAAAAAAAAAAGAAAAAAAAGAAAAAAATTTTCAACTTTCACATTCCAAAGCTGGCTTGCCAGCATAGAAATCATAGATTCCCCTCCCCATCCCTGCTGAAGGGATAACAAAATCATTTCTGTATTTTGACTAGCCCCTTGACTCAGGAAACGTCCTGGCTATTGATAATCCTTTCCATAAAAAAGAAGATGGTATGGGGGGTTGGGGAGGACATGGGTAGGTGTGTAAAAACGGAGCGTGGTGACATAGAAACTGGACATGAGGTCCCCTAGAATTTTCAAGGGGCAGAGGAGACTGATGTGCCACTGTGTCTGTGGGGATGGGGCCTCTGACTCTTACACAGATCAGAGCAGGCTCCAGTTAGACCCCGGTTCTGGTATTTTTTTCAATTACTATCCATTGAGCATCCAATGGGCGCATGGCACCGTACTTGGTGCCAGAGATCTGAGCAGAATGTTGCAACAGGGGAAGAAAACCCAACTCATTAGGCTTATTTCCCTTTGTGTCAACCAAAAGTACTTCTTATAACTTTAGCTTCATTCATGGCTTGTCTATCTACCGTCTGTAGTATTGGAGAGACCGCAGCTGAGCGATGGAGGTGCATCAACTCAAGGCCTCAGTCAGTTCATTTCTTAATTTCCTCACCAAATTATTGACTCAGAGCATAACCAAAGACCTCATCCATTCACCCCTGGGAGGTTCGGGGAATTGGAGTTCAATGATGAAACTAGGGTGGGGTGCAGGGAGTAGGGAAGGGGGGAAGTGAGAAAGGAGAAGGTATAAAACCCTTTATTTATACTGAGGTTCAGAAGAAGTTTATACCTCAGCCAGCAGCTGCCTTCATTTTCAACCGAAGTCCAACCGGCAGACTCTAGTTCCATCTCCCCTGTACCTCCCTAGGTCATACGGCCTCGGCCGTCCTGGATTACACCCAGCCTGCCGGGCGGGATGTTAGTCTCAGGCTGCCGATGTCCACCCGATCGTCATCTGGGCCTGCCTGAGTGCTCCCCCGATTCCCCTGACAGCAGAGTAAATCTTTACTGGTGGATCAGTTTGTAAAAGAGAGGTGTCCCCTTGACGAAAAGATTTTTCAAGTGGATATGTAAGAAACAGTTGCTTGTGAAATATACTTTTGTAAATAATATTTAATTTTTTAAATAATATATTTGGTGCTGTTTTCTCAGATCCCCTGAGAGCACTTTTTATTTTCATTTTTAAATGCTGTGGTTTCCTCTGCATTTCTTGAAGTATATCTTAAGGGAAACAGTGATCACCAATATACTCTTAAAAAAGAAAAAAGAAAAAAAAAGATCTCCATCACTTTAGTCTGGACGGAGGCAATAAAGCAATGCCTCTCTGCATTTCTTCCCAATGGAACAGACTCTGCAGTACATTACCAAGTTGAGAACTGAAATATTTTCTTGCACCACTATTGGCTAGAAAATAGATAAAATCAAATAAATTTAGTAACAAATTAGAGTGATTCCTCTTGTTGGAAGAATTTCCAACAGATTGGAGTCTCGGAGTCTTGTTTTTAATTTGTGTGTGTGTGTGTGTGTGTGTGTGTGTGTGTGTGTGTGTGTACATGTGTGTGTGTGTGTGTAAAGCACTTTGGATTGTGCCTCCTGTTTTCGTTTTTATTGGGGACACTGTACCTACAGTTTACACCTTGGGCACATAAGATTTTTCTTCTCTTTTTCTCTGGTGGTTTTGTTTCTGAGTGGACCAACAGCACAGCCCTCGAGGATTTTGTTTTCCTCAGCATGGAGCTGTTGCCTGTTTGCTCCTTTGTCTTTCTTTGTGTGCTCAACTTTTACAGACTGTAAAGGAAATCTGTTGTTGTGAAGATCAAGCAGAGTCAAAGCTGTGTTTCTCACTGAGATGTGAGTGTATTCATCATGAACCCAGGGCTCCAGCTGTTGTGGAAGCCACATCATGTTAAACATTAAACTGGTTTGGGTAGAAAGAACGTCAATAAAATAATACACATACCTTGGAGGTAAACACCTTTTTTTTTTTTTTTTTTTAAGGTCAGATTGCCTCAGGTTCAGTAAGAGGCTGGGAAATCAAATTTTGAACACAATCATCTTACATATTTTAAAAAAAGAGTCTGCTCAAATGAGAAAACATGCTAGTGGTCTAGTTCAAGGAAAGAGATATTTAATATTTAAAAATAAAATACAGTTGTGAAATTGGCCAGCAGTGAAAGGTAAAGCCAAGAAGAAACAAGCTGTTCTCATATTACCAAATTCTGTCTGTCCGTGTATTTTTGTATAAAATTTTGGTGAAAGTGAGAGTCAGTTCCCTTTTCCAACCTGCAGAGACTATCTTTCAATACAGACTCTATTTATGCTTGTGTTTACAAACTGTATTTGTTGGGTTTGGGTTTTGTTTTTCTTTTTTTTTTTTTTAATTAAAAAATTTTTTTTTTCAGTGGCATTTTCAGGTCACTTTGCTTCAATAACAAAGATAATGATTTTCAAGTAATTTGTCTTCACCTTTTCCTGTATTTGTACATAGTGATTCAATATTAGAGAAAAGTGCATTGTTTCTGTCATATTTCCAATCTGTGTTGGTGCTCATTTGAGAAAAATAAAGTTTTCAAATATTAATTCTTTGGAGGGCTCATCTGTCTTAATTGACCCAGCATGTTTTATCTTGACATTTAACATTTAAAGTAACTGACAGACCTGTAGGTGGTCATCTATCTAACCCTATTCACAGATCTGTCAACTGAGGCCCTGAGGGGTTATTTTCCCTGAGGACACTTGGCTGATTGATGAATACAAATCAGGTCTTCTGTTTATCTACAAACATTTCTCCTGGCTTTGGAGATCAGAAATGCAGAAATGTATCATTTCTGTCTACTAAGCCCCATATTCTTAGACTCTGAGAGCTTTTCTGTTAATACCAATTTTCTTTACAGATAGAATTACATTAGGTGAAGGGAAAAAAAAGTAAAACAACAAAATAATGTCAAAAAGAGGCAACATTATCTCTGACTGGTTGGCTAACAAAGGGAGATAAATATTCACAGTTATAATATATGGAAAATCAAGTCTTCTCACTCACTGGACAAATATTAAACATCTATTAGGTTCTAGCCACTGAGTAAGGCAATT